GGACAGCCTCGTCAGCACAGGCAGCAGGAGCATTTCCTAAGGATGAAAACTGCCTCCTCCCTGGATGGGCTGGAGTCTATATTGATGCTGCCCTGCCACTTGGGACTGTCCCTCTTTTCCCGCACTTTTTGGCCTTGGGGTAGCTGGGAACTGTAGGCCAGCAGATGAGGAAGCCCCATTCAACCCAGTGAGTGATACCCGTGCAGGCTACAGCTCTGGAACTACAGCTCAATGAAACCTTATGGGGGAACATTTTAAACAACCAACTACGTATGGCAGCCATCTTACAAACACAGGTAACTGCCATTTCGTTACACCTACCAGCAGCCACTGGGAAAAGTTAGTCCCACACAAGAGGCAAGCAGGAGAAGCGTCTTCATCAAGACAGAAAGCCATTTGCCAGTAATTCTGACAGGGCACAGTGGCTGAAGGGGGAGTTGGTGGGGAAGAGGAGGAGACCCAGCACTCTGCCAATGGCACGCGAGTACTCTTGAGTGGCGGCTGACAGGCCAATGGCTGAGGGAGGGCATTGCACAGCCAGTGGGAGAGTTGCAAAGTTCCACCCCAAAACACAATTATTCTATAGAGAGATGCTAATTTCTTATGCTCATGCAGATCATCTGCTAGGTTGATATTGTCATGCTGGTCCTACAAGCATCAACCTATTTCTTTCTTTCCTGCCCAGATAAATAGCAGATGTACATATCTGCACAAAATAGGTATATTTAATTGTTCCTCTGCTAAGAAGAAAAGGCAGGTCTAAACTGAATTAATGTTTTACATCATATAAGTAATTCTGTCTTTTTGAAATTGCGTTAGGTGCCCTAATATCTCTATAAGTTTGCCCACTCATCACCCAAGTGTGTACATGGGGTCTGAAGTTACATTTTGATTTATATTTAAAAAGATGATTGTGTGTATGTGTAGTATTTAATGCTAATTTTATATGTGTAACTGTTGTACAAGTGGAAGAAGGGTATTTTGTCCCTTGGCTTTCTTCATAAAATGTTACAACACTGGTATCTTCAATGTCTCTTTCCAACAAAATATTTAAAATTACTACTGTTTGTGGTGTTACATTATTTTTATTACCATATGTAGGAGTGGGAGAGAGTCTGGAAGGTTATTAAGTGAATTCCCAATTTGATCTTGGGTTGTATCTGTCCTCTATAACCTGATGCATTACTAGGAACTTGTTTGTAACTTAAAGCCATATTGACGTTCCCTTCCCATTTCATAAATGCAGTATATCAACTGTAGATGCTGAAATGACACAAGCATTACAACATTTGTGTATATAATGCAGTCTACTTTTAGTGAAGTACAAAGTCTGGTAATGCTTACTTATTCTTCTAGTTTACATATACTTTATCTGTATAGCTTTGAAAAGATTAATTAAGAACCTAGTTGCAAATATCTTTTAAGTTATTCTGATGTTTTCACGTATTAGTATAGCTAGTGTTCAGGACCAGGTTTATTATGCAGACTAATTGAGCTCTTTTTCCTATGTTTATATACTGAACTAGATCTTAAGGGTGTAAATAGCTTTTGTATACTGAAACATTTTCTTTTTTACATTATCTGATGCTCTTCGAAGATACCTTTTTCATCTGTGCCTTTCCAATAAACTTTTATGCTTGATTGTAAAGTAAGTTCTTATTATAAAGTTTACTGGTGCCTGACTGTTTTTTTAAAAGGGTGCTACAAGAAGTAGGTATCATTCTGGAAGCATAGCACTATGTGACTTAATTCTGTCTTACTTGATTCTGATCCTTCCTGCCAGTGGTTAGGATGTAGCTTAAACTTCTGCATAGTGTCCTGTATTTCAAAATAGATCCTCACGTATAATACTTACAGCATTTGATACCCTTTTTAATGAAATCCTTGTTTCCCCAACAGTATCAAGCAGATGAATAAGATTTTATCTTGTGGCTTTTGAAAGGAGAATAATAATAAAAGGGAGCAATAAAAAGATACTAAACTTCTGTGGCTATTTAACATAATAAGAGTACTGTTTAAATGTGTGTGCTCATTCAGAATTTTATAAAATGTTTAATGTAAACAGACAAATCATATAATATAAATGTGTAATGCTGCAGCAGTCAGAATAATTTCAGCATATTTAATAATTTGTCAACTTGCATGAAAAATATAAATGGGTAGAATGAAGGGTAGCATGATATGCCTTCAAAACATGGCTCTTGGGTTTAGCAGGCTTGATGATATCTGCTTGTTTATAAAAATGTGTGGAAATAACAATAATAAGAACTGACATAGCAGATCTATATTTGGGGGGGGGGAATAGACTGATTTGGGACAGGCTTTGCTCCAAGCACTTAACTTCTAGATCCTTCTGAATGACTTAAATTCTAGTCTGAAGGACACTGCAGTTATA